TCCATCTTTGTTTTGCAAGCATCCATGAGTTTGGTGGACACATTTATGTTTTTCAAAATTGTAGGAGTACAAGGACCATAGCCATTGACATAAAGCGAATATTCAAATAGGCAATAACTCAAGTAAGCTAAAAACATTAAGAAATGAAAGCGTATAAAAAGAGAAATTTCGCTGTCTCCCTAAATTTAGAGGAGTTCAACAATGTTTTCCAATCAATTTATTAATTGTAGGATTTATTATTAAAGACTCGTGGAAAATCCCACAATTTCATAAAACTATTTGAAATGCATGCTTGAACATTTAACAAATTTAGAGGAGATGGTGGATGTCATGGCGGTGTAAACCTATCACGTGCATATACTAATTTTTGTCTTAACATGCAAGTTTTATGGATCTAGTAACGTATGCCACACTTAGATAAGAGACTCTACGCTTCTACACTTCATTTGACATCGAATGAGCCACTAAACCTATGGTTTGGTCGTAGGTAAGGGCACTAAATATGACATGAATGTTATTTGCATGCAAAAATAGGGTCACTGAACACAAATTCAATGCCCTGTCGCCTTGCTGCCATCCTTTTAGCTCTCACATGAGAGCAAATCATGAAAAATCACTTGATTTTCATGATTTAAACAAGTGGACAGCAAATGAAGGAATTTGGGAGACCAAAAATCAAAGTTTCAAGGAATCTAGGGCTTGGGGACGTCAATCACACATCAATGGCTAGGGGGGCCTTAGGGCTTTTCCTAACTTTATTTTATACCTCTCCCGGGTTGTCCTAGCGCTCCTATCCAAGCTCTAAGTATTGTCCAAGCTCCGGATAGCCTTCCAAGCTCCAATACAAGCTCCTATTTGCTGTCTTTATCACCTCGAAGTCGTCGGAGATGATGGAGAAGGAAGAATAGGCTTCTATAATGACTTAAAAGCCTCCACAAGCCTCCACTAACTTCCTACTCTTCCTTTGCTTGAGAGGTAGGAAAGAGCATGTACAAATTCCTTCCCTTTGAGAAATGAAGGGAGATGTGAAGATATCTCCCTCTCTTGGTCCAAAGAAGAGAGAAATTACAGCAAGGGATCGGTGACCTCAAGAAATCAGCGGCTGAGGACTGAAGGAGTCGGCCGGCTTGGAGGATTCGACGTCTGGAGGGCTCGATGGCAAGGGGAGAACGACGCCTTGGAGGCGTCAGAAGACCTGAATGGGGTTGGTCTGCCTGAAGAGCACGGGGAGCACACAGGAATCCCGAAATCTCCCGTTCTCTCTCGCTTGCTCTCTGGGTCGTGGCGGAAAAATAGAGAACAGGCAGCCGAATCCCGCTCACCTTCTCTCTTTCGTTTTCTTAGGGGCGCAGGCACACAGCGGGTAACCGCCAGAATCATCACATCCCCTTGCCTCATTGCGCGAAACGAGAGCAAATCTACTTGAGTAGATTTTGCTGCCCAATTGAAGTGAAATTGGGTGGGATTTGAGGAGAGATCTCAACCCTATATCTCAAATTTTGATTTGAGAACCAAATTTAGCCCATATTGACTGATTTGGGTTGAAATTGAGCTCGAATCGAACTCGAATTGGATTGACTTGGGTCCGATCGAGTTAATTTTATGAAGTTAAACTCAAATCGGCGTCGAATTGCGCCGAATTGCGCCAAATTACGTCGAATTGGGCTCGACGATGCTCAACGGGGTTCGATTTGATTTGATTTTATTTTAATTTAATTAAATTGAATTTAATTTAATTAAATTGAGGCATAATTTGGGTCAATTTCGCCTCGACGACGATCGATTGGGTTGATCGAGCACGATCGAGCCTAGTTGGGCTCGATCGGGGTCGAGTCGATACGAAAAAGTTCGTCAACACCAACAACTTTTGCATTATAGGAGTGAGGGAAGGAACATGCAACTTTTGGGTTGCAAATCCATGAATGTTCCTTGAACACTTGATGTTTAAAGAGAAATATTCATTTGCCTAATTTGAAGCTAGGCAAATGGAGAGGAATTTGGAGGTTTCCTACAATTTAAGGCTTTTGTAGGAAAAGAAGTGGTCAAAAATGCAACATACGAGTTACACATTCATGAATATCCTTGAACATTTGTTGTTCAAAGGGGGATAACCATTCTCCTAAATTTGGGCTTAGGAGAACGAGAGGGAGGTCCCTTAAATACTTGATATTCTAGGAGAAAATGAATGAGAGGGAGGTCCCTTAAAAGATCAATCACTCAGTTGGGGTTGAGTGAATGGAGTGGGAGGACTGGGATTTAAATTCTAAGTCCAAGAGATTATTCATTGATTTTTTGTGCTCCAATGAATAATTGATTTGATAAACTCCCTACAACTTTGGGGTTGAAGCAAGAAGATGTAACTTGAAAATTACAAAATTTTATGAATGTTCTTTAAATATTTGGTATTCATAGAGACATGATCATTCACCTAGTTGGAGTCAAGTGAATGGAGGAAAGTATGGGTTGAGTCCTATGTTTGGAAGGATTATTCATTGATTTTTGTGTTCCAATGAGTATGATATAAGGGACTTGGAAGTTGGTTCCAAGTTCAAATTATTCATGCAACGATATATTTGAAACTTTTGAATATCCCAAAACACCGTGTATATCTCCTTAGCCTGCTACTGTGATAAGAGAACCATCAACAGTGATGATTTTCTTATCCCTGAGGCAAGGAGCATAGTTAATGAAGCAGGTAATGGAGTGGGTCATGTGATCTGTGGCTCTTGAGTCAATGATCCATAAACCTTTCAAATGATTTCTAAAGACACTTAACCCGATGGATATAGAAAACTTACGTGAAATTACAAGAGAAAAAGATGCAGGTGATTTTTCAAGGGATACCAGGAGTTATTTTAACTTATCAATATCTTCTTTGTTGAGCTCTCTGAAGTTGGACTGTGTTTCTAGGTTGGGTTGATTTAATGTAGAATTAGCTTGTGATATCCACTTTTAGCCACTTCTTTGATTTCACTCTTTACTTATAGGCTTTCCATGTAACTTCCAGTAGGTCTCCTTTGTGTAACTTGATTTCTTGCAATAGTTGCACCAAAGGGAATCTTTGTCTTTAGGTTTTGAGGAATCCTTACCTCTTTCCTTCCATATCGCCTCTTTGATTGTCACCATTGTTAAACCATCAATAATCTTTGGTTCCAGTATTACCTCTCGTCGACTTTCCTCAACATGAATGAGAGAGATGATCTCATTTAGTGAAGGTGTCTTCTCTTTGCCAAGGATATGAACTCTAACTTGGTCAAAGTTAGTATTTAACCCAACAAGAAAGTAATACAATATATTTCTCAATAAAGTTTTTAAAGATAGCACCATCTTCTGGACGCTTAGTCTTTATTCATTTGTAGTGGTCAAGTTCTTGCCATAATCCTTGAAGGGGAGTGGCATATTCAATCACGGTCTTGCTTCTTTGTTTTGTGCTTCCCACTTTGACCTTAATTTCAAATATTTTAGTAGCATCCCGATCTTTTGAAAAGTTTTGTCTAGCAGCATCCCATATGTCCTTTGCAGTAGATAGGAACATGAAGTATCACTAATTTCTGGAGTTACGAAATTTCACAACCATGGCATAATCATGGAATCTGCTTCATCCCAAGCCCAAAAATTAGGATCTCCTTATTTTGGTCCAACCCCAAGGAGATGATTCATCTTTCCTTTCCCTTTCAAATAGATATTCACAAAGTGAGACAATTTCAAGTAATTCTTCCCATGTAAGTGATAGGAATGTTGCATATTTTGGAGATCTCTTTCTTGGTGCGCCATAAAGTCCTCTATTTGTTCAAAGCTTTGAGAGGAATTAGCTTCAGACATTACGCCGATAAAGGATAGCAATGAAGGCCGCTATACCAATCAGGACAACAATGAAGGTTGTGTTGAACAGTAACCCTTAGCAATTCCGACAATGAAGGTCAGTGGTGGGAATTTGGCTCTGATACCATGTTAAATAAAGGAAAATGGAGAGGGAAAAGCTTCATTTTATTACACAAAACAATACATATTTATAGATCTATACAAGATATCTTAATAAAGAAATAAATAAATACAAAATCATTCATAATTGCCCTACAAAATCCTTCCTAAATTAGCCACCCAAATACGGAAGAAGATCGACGTGATCCATGTGAGCCTCCCACGGATCCCCATGCTAGCCATGGGATCAAGGGTTAAGGGACGGCTGGGATTTAATTCTAACCCTCCCACAGATCCCCATGTTGGTTATGGGATCAAGGGACGACTGAGATTTAACACCACATAAACTTATTTTCAATTATCTTCTTTTCAATAGATATTACACTAGCTTTTTCTCTAATATTATCATTCATTAATTTATCATTCCTAGTTTTGACGCATCAACCTTAATATTTTAAATTAAGTTGCACTCAACTCAAATATCAATGACTTTTTTACCTAGCATTCAAATCAATATACTATCACATACCAAATTATAGGTTTATAAAATTTATTTTCAAGTATTTTTACAATTTCTTTTATTTTCAAAACAAAATTGTCATTTTTTTACTTTATATTAACTTTAAAGAGATATCTAAACGCTACATATAATTCTCTTTCTCGCAACATTGCACTGCCATACCATCCAGCATTTAAAAGAAATTGATTAAGATTTCATCAAGTCCAAAAACGAAAGAATAAACTCCAGAGAGCATAATAACTTTAGCAAGTTGAAAATTCTTAACATTGAATATGTGAAGATGACAGCAAGACCAACAATGACGACTGAATGATGGCATGATTTAAACAAAAGATCTCAAATGGGCAAAATATGATATAGGAAAGAAACGTGTCGTCATAGTGACATAAAGCTATGCCTATAAGTTATGAAAATTGTAATTTGAATTGCATGTTAAAAACAATAAAGAATAAAGCAAAGAGCTGCAAGTTGATAACCATTTCTTAAGCAAAACTAAAATACAGCACTAAATAATAAACATAATATAAAAAACTAAGGAATAAAAGAATATCAAGAATACCTCGCTAAAGCAAAAGATATCCATCAAGCGTACCAGCCCACTTGCTTGATCCCTACCAATATGTCGTGAACCGTATATCTGTATAATTTTCTGTCTACTAACCTATTTAGGCAAAGTAAGCGAATAAAGTTATTTCATGGATATTAAAGTCATAAGGTACAATGAATGCAAAGATTTTTCAAACCTTGGATAAAGGAAGCATGTTAAAATAGAATATGAAAGCTTACAACAAAGCCTAATCTACGATTAAGAAAGCTACTAATAATTTTAATCTAAATTTTCCATCTCCTTTAATCACGATGCTATTGATATAAACAATAAACTAGTTATTGTTGTCATTAAATTATTAGACAATGGCTCCTGTGACGGTTGTACTATATATAAAAATGAGAAAGTTACAAATACATATATGATGAATGTAAACTGAATATGAAATAATATGTATTTATGATTTATGCATATGTTTAAATGATGTGTTTATTAGGAAATAAAATTTATGATATGTTTAAATGAAAAGTGACATCTAGCATATTATTTCTACTATCTTGAATTATTATAGTTTAGAGGCATGTGTTACTCGCTAAGCTTTGGCTTATTGTTGTTGCTCTAACTTTTATTTCAGGTAAGTTTAAGGTAATCAAATGAGTAGAAGAGATGAAAATGTCTACCGTAGACGTGAGGCATAAGAAGAAAGGTATTTAAGTTTAGTTATTTTCATTATCAGTATATATATATATATATATATATATATATATATATTTGAAGTTTAGCGGCTCTTTCTTTGAACTGAAAAGAGTTAGTTTATAATTTCACCATCCGACCTTTCTGTTCCCGCGTCGTTAATTCGAGCCCCCGGGCCGGTCGTGACATTAAATGCTTAATGTATAGTCCCAACAGTTTAATTTTAATGTTGAACAAAATTTACTATCATCAACTTAAAGTAAAAGATGAGCTGAATAATAACAAACTCAATCAATATCCTATGATAATGTAGCTTCGAGTAATCGAGTTGTCATGGATTGTGGTATACATAACTAAAAGAGATAGTCGATCCAATCTGACCAAAGAATTCTTGTTAGTAGACATGGGTTGCATCATCCAATATAAATTTTGAAAACATAAGGTGAATGTTTGTCAAAAGTGACAAATTTGAATTGAATTTAGCTAACATAAAGTTTTATGAACTGTCAAGTGTACCCTATGATTTACCAAGAGAATTTTAGTCATTGGGGGACTTATTAGCTCTAAATGTGATGTAATCTAATGGAGTTATTTGCAGTGAAATCACCCATCAGAGAGCCCAATCATAACTATTATATGCCATGTCATTTGACAGTAAAATGTAATATCAAACATTTTTAAGGTAATGTGCAAACCTAATACAATTCAATTATATCCCCATTTTGTTTCTACATTCATAAATCGTACAATACGATTAGATAACAATAAAAAATTTTGATTCTACATTAATCTTGGAATATCTATATCATATTTTATAAATTGTTAGGATCACTTTAATATATATAGGCATGGTTTAAAATTGCGCAAAAAAAGGAATGCCTCAGCGCAATATGGCCCCTTTAAGCCTCAAAGCCCTGCAATAAGTTCAGTTTTTGAGGCTTACGCCTCAAGTTTACTGAAGGCGTGCCTCGCCTCACATTTTTAACGTGTTTTTCATAATGCAACTCCTTCTAATGCTTTTTTAAAGTATAGAAGGCTATTGGAACAAAGTTCGTGTCCAAGAGGATGTAAGGCAGAGGAAAATATGGATCATATGGGGGTTGGATGTTCATTACTTATTCTTGTTATAAAGCTTCTGAATAAATGGAGTTTTGAAGTTCCAATTTGCACTTCCTTTTTGAATTGCATTAATAGGTTAAGGATCCTCTCACATAATAATATGTTTATAGGAAATTTATACCGTACAGCAGTATTCTTTGCTTAGAAAAGCATAAATAAATTTTTACATGGTGAAAAAGAAGATGGTCTGGTTTCGATTACGGCAAATGATTTATCTTTTGCTTCAGCTTCGTCAACCCCTTATATTCATTCAGGATTCTGGGATGTTAATCAACTGTCTAAGCTGTCTTCTTCTTGGCATCCTCCTCCACCTGAATGGTTAAAGGTGAATATCGATGCTTCTCTTTTAAATACTAGTAGAGCTGGTATTGGTGGTATATTCAGAGATAATGAAGAGAGGTTCTTGATGGCGTTCGGGTTCAAGGGTTTGCATTTGATTGTAGCTCAGTTGGAATTGATAGTTGTTCATTCGTTGGAGAAGGTTATTCAAGGTTGGATATTGGAAGCATAAGGCATAATTATTGAAGGCGACAACTTTAACATTATGAAATTTCTTCAAGGTTTTTATGGAGGAGACAATTTCATCCTTTTTTTCTTTTCTTAGAAAGTTAAATCAAGTTATCTTTAATTTTATCAAAAGAAATTGTAATAAGTTTTCGGATTTATGTGCTAACTTTGCTTTGTTTAGTGATTTTATTTGGGATGACATTAGTAGTGTAGACATTCCTCCGTTTTTTTTTTATTTGTTAAAGGAGGAATGTGATGGAGTAGAGTCTCCACATTAGGTTGTATTTTCTTTTGTTTCATCTTTAATGCAATTTGCATTTTCTTCAAAAAAAAAAAGTTGCCCTATTTTTTCCCACGTACGGAAACGTCAAGTTATTTTTTTTAAATTTCATTTGTAATTTTAAACATGTTGATGTATGTAAGTAATAACATTTTGTATATACATCAATTCATTTAAATAATATTCTTAAGGTTTAATTAAATCAGTTTACAGTAGCATGCATGGCTAATTAATATTTACTTAAATGTCAATTAATATTGCAGCAGTTCCACTAGCATAAGCATGCAGCGACTAATCTCTAATCCTACGGTTGGACTGAGGGTTGGAATTGTAGTGGGAGCTGCCTGGTATTATAATATTATATAATTAAGGAACTTAAGCACTAGCCCATTCCATTCCTCCTTTTTCCTCTTCACTTGTTCTCTGGATTTTGAAGCAGCATTCCATGAGCAAATAGACGGCAGGGCTGCGGGGGGGCTACTGCTTTCTGGGGAAATTATCAAGAAATCAGTAAGGAAAATTAAAGAGAAGGAAAAGGAAAGAAAAGAGAGAGTTTAGGGAGAAGAAAAAGGAAGTGTTTTGAATGAGGAATTCAATTGAGGTAATTCCGTAAGGTTTTCATTTAGCCTATTGTATTTTACTTGAATGCAAGTTTGAAAGGCAAATAATTATGTTTTAGGTTGTTTATAAGCGGAAAAGAAGCGGGGTGCTTTAGGAGAACGAATTCATGAGACCATCCTAATGGCGAGGTAGGATATCAAATCTGTGATATAGAAAAAAGTATGATTAATTTTATATAATTGTGGCAACATGTTTATCTAATTATGATAGCAATTATTTTCATATTGAGCAAATTGATTATTTACTGGTGCACTTGATTTTAACAATTGTTAGTTGATGATTACTAGACCTACAAAGGTATATTATCAAAATATGAAGACAATGAAAAGGTAAATGATAAAAATCATATTATCGATAATAGACCCGCACAAGTAAAGGCGAAGACCTAACAAGGTAAGCCTTAGGGACCATACAGAAGGTACCCAATTCTCACTTGTAAAAGTTAAAAATTCGGATCCAATTTTGAATGAGAGAGCTTCACTCTCACTTCTAAAAGTTGAAAATTTGGACCCAACCTTGTATGAGAACTATAAGTGTTCAAAATGCTATAATCATCATATGATTTGCTTAAATTATTGGAAAATAAACAAAGCAGGAAATGTAGAAAATTAAATATGCAATATTTTTCTTATACAGTTTATGATTCTTATAAAAATCCCAATATTATTTATAACTGACTGTCAATTTTATATTTCTTATTTCTTATATTATGGTTGTTTATTTCATTGAGCTTTAGCTCATAAGCAATGGTTGTACTGCAAGAAAAAGAAAGGAGTCTGCGGGGCTCTACGAAGAAGGGTTCAGGCCTTTTGTATACATATGTTTTGGTTGTGCATAGACGCAAGAATAGAAAGTTGTGTAGTCAGACTTTTGGATATGTAAATTTTATTTGACAAATTTAGTAAGCTCTGTATTTTATTTGATGAGTTATAAATATGCATTCAATTATGAATTGTGCAAAACAATTATTAAAGCTGAAAAATGCACTGTGTTAGGATAGTCTGAATAGATCAATTCCTACTCACTGAATTCTGACGTAAGTAATTCAGGATGGATGATAGTAAAAGATATATCTGCTCAGATTCTCCTTATATGTTACACTACAAGTTGATTAAAAGGAGGGTCAAAATGAGGTGTGATATAAATAATGCAAGGTATATACATATTATTGCAATCATTTTATAGAATATGATGGTCAATGCATCAAACAGTACAATGCAGAACGTTCAATGCATCCTATGTTACCTTAAAAAATGTTTGAGGCATTCAACATCATTTTAATGATGTTAAACTTCTCTAAGACTGATAGTAATATTTAATTATAAAATTAACAATATTTAGAGTAGTGAAGAATCGAGTTATATAGCCAAGCAAAAGAACTGCAAGCGCAAGTGTCCTCAGAGAAATATTAGGTAAGAGTTAAAATGTTAATGGAAATTTAAATTAAATTTAATGTTAATGAATTTCGAATTTTGTGAAAACCCGAAAAATGTCATTTTAGACCTCGCACGCTTTTCAAAGCGCCGCGACGAGAATTTAGTGGAATTTTCAACGTTAACGGAATGTAACGGAAATAATTTTAGAAAATTTTAAGCGAAATTCTGATCGTTTTGGTATTTAAAACCTATACCTAATTTTGCCTAATTAGAGAGTTATTAATTTTAGAAGTCTAAAAATACCAAAACTACCCTTCTCTATTCCTTATACCGAAATTTCCTAAGTCAGGGCATAATTGACTTTTAGCAAACCCCAATTCCCCTTAATAGGCAAACCGAAACCCATTCTTTCTCATTTCACGCGTGAACCGCACGAAACAAGAGGGACGGACGTCGGGCAAGGGGCGACGGGCGGCTTCGTGAGGGCACTCCGACGACGATCTTCCGGGGAAAATTTTAGTTCAAATCGAAGAGGAGATCAAGGGAAGAAGAAGGTATATTTTAGATTTTAATTTCTCCTTCTAAATCTCAAGTTATTTGAGAATGAAATTTCTAGGG